TAATCTTGTTTGGTCCCAGGGGGTTCTTCCCCGTCCATGGAAAACTGCCTTGGTTCTTCCCTTTGCTAAACCAGGTACTTCGGGCCATAAGGCCTTCCACTATTGACGAATTGCTCATACCAGTACAGTTTGCAAGTTGATGGAACGTCTAGTAAATAGACGTTTGGTGCGGTATTTAGAGAGACTATAGTCTTTCCACTCATCAATTTGGCTTTCGTAAAGGCCGCTCCACTATCGACCCCTTACTCTGGTAAGATACCTATGTTCGTAATGCCTGTGCTAGTAGCCACTAGGTTATCGCAGTCTTTTATAATTTTGAAAAGCGTATGATACTACTTGGAGATAACATCTTAGCCCAAATTCATTCCTTAGGCCTCTGGGGCAATCTGGCAGTTTTCCTTAAAAACTACTTGTCTGAGAGGCATTTCCGTGTCCGGGTTAATCTGCTTTTCCCCTGACTATAACAAAGCTGAAGGTGTCCCTCAGGGATGTGTACCTAGCACCACTCTTTTTCTGTTAGATATTAATGATCTGGCCTCTGTTCTCCCATCTAATATTTTATCATCACTTTATGTTGATGACTGCTACAGCTTGTCCATGTGCTAACTGACATCTAGCAGCAGCCTCTCTCCAGAATGCTGTCAAACATGTTTCCCATTGGGCCACTACTCACGAGTTTAAATTTTCTGGCAGTAAAACGCATCGGATTTCTTTTACAAGACGTTTGGTTGTCTTTAATACTCCACTTTACCTGTACGAGTCCCAGATCCCTTAACATGATACGGTCAGATTTCTCAGTCTTCTGTTTGATCGACGGCTGTCCTGGAAACATCGCATTACATCCCTGGAAGCAAATTACCATAGCCGGCTGAACCTCCTTAAAATCCTCGCTCATCTTTTTTGGGAAGGGGGGGGGGATCGTAGAATTCTCCTTCGACCTCATTCAGCCATAATTTTATCGAAACTAGATTATGGAGACCAGATGTAGTTTGCAGCCTTTCCTGCAACTCTTTCTAAACTTTATCCCATTATCATCAGGGATTACGTTTATGTCTAGGTACTTTACATAACTTCCCTGTCGAAAACCTATGTGCAGAGGGTAATGTTCCATCTTTGACCGGTCGGCGTGATGCCTATTGCCTCCGGCTGCTCTCATGACCTTCACGATCCTTCTACATACAGGAAGGTAACGGACGTTAGTAGAGGTCTATTATTTGTTTGCTACTCCTGTTTACTTTTTTTTTTTTCACTCGCTCCTGGCTTCTCTTTCACCCTGGGAGGTTCTGACAGTTCGAGTCTGTTCTTCACCATTTCCGATCTCATTTTCATGTCGTTGCAATTGACACTGATGGTTCTAAATCTTCTTGATCGTGTCGGGTTTGCAGCAGTGTTCCCAGACAGTGTTGCGAGGTTATTTATTAGACTCGGCTAGCATTTTTACTGCTAAAACTGTATGCCATTCACAAAGCGATTATACGTATTGCGTCCAGGCCTACCTCAACATTCGAGGTAGTTTCAGACTCCTCTAGTGCTTTGCAAGCTATCAAAAAATTCAATTCACCTCATTCCCTAGTTCTTCGTATACATTTTTTTGCTGTGCCGCATTTCTAGGAAAAACAAAGAAATCTTTTTTCTCCTGGATTTCTGGTCATGTTGATGTTCAGGGCAATGAGTTTGTAGACTCTGCTGGGCGGTCAGCGGTACATGACCTCCTAGTTTCATATAGAGGTATTTCATTCTCAGACTTGGTGTAATCTCCAGCCACCTTCGTAACGGCTAGCATCACCGTTGGTCTGAGTTGATTAATAATGTTCTATCAAGCCTTGTTTTCCTCCTTATAACGTAGTTTCCCTTGTAACAGTTGATATGTTAGCCAAGAAGAGTATCGAGAAGGAGAATGTAGAATATAACTTTGGTATAACTGTGTCTAGCATTAGGAATAATATTAGGAGAGAAGTAAATAATGAAATGATTGTTATAGGAATGCAGTTAGAAGCCTGAGTAGATCTATAACCCACTATGATAACATGAACGTAGATAAGTATGTTTATGGAACAACTTGCAATGTGAACAGACTGACTGATGTTGTAGTGGCCAGGCTTAGGCTTGGTTACAAGTACTTCTGGCAGTTTGGGAGACACACAGATGATGATCAAACTAAATGTAAATTATGTGATCAGGCATATGGTCATTCTCTTGAACACTATGTTCTTAATTGTCCACTTATTGAGGAATACAGAGACAGACAGTATAATAACCTATGTGACATGTCAAGATATCTTATTAATGAAAATAAGATACCAGATATACTAAGCAAATTTCCTAAATTTGCTTGTAACAGATAAGTGAACTATAGATATGTAGATATAAATCCATATGTATTCCTGTTAACCCTTTGGGGCCTAGTTCCTAGCCTTTTGTGTATCCATATGCTCTCGCGCTACCGTCCACAGGATGGATATGGGGTGCACAATAAACTAGCCACTTCGGTGGCAAAATCTAATCTAATCCTTGTAACAGGTTTCCCTTTCCAATTCCCTATATTGCTGGCGAACCTAGCACATTTCCCTGGTATTATTGCTAGTGTCCGCATAACCGTTCCTGATAATGCTGGTAACAACAAAAAAGTATCACTCTTTTAATGCTGGTGGGCCAACTAGGTTACCTTGCTTATTATGCTGGTAGCTCCAACATGGTTTTTTTTCTTTTTAAAACTTGAGGTCCCAGCACGTTCCTGTACTTTTAATGCTGCTGATTTAATTATAAATATCGTGTCCCCTGTGTGTTTCCTTCATGAAAGTGCTGCAGGTTCCATCACGTTTCCTTCTATATAATGCTCTTCTGCCCAACACATTTTCTTCGTTATGATGCTTGAGGCCATAACAGGTGGTGTCAAGGCTGGTGTCCTCTCTGGTATGAGGCTTTCAACTCTCAAAAACTCTGCTCCATCTGAATCATTCTTGACACCCAAGCTGCTTCCTGATACCCAGGCTGCCTTTTGACAGCCAGGCTGCTTCCTGACACCCAGGCTTCTTCCAGATACTCAGGCTGCTTCCAGACACCCAGGCTGCTTAAATTCTTACACGGCTGGTGGTCCCCAACACTTTTCCTTCCTTATAATGCTGGAGGCCATAACAAATTTCCTTCTTTATAATGCCGCTGGCTCCAACACTTTTTTCCCTCTACATACAGCTGGTGGCCCCAACACTGCTGGTCGGCTTGACATGTTTTCTTCCTTACATTGCTTATGGTCAAGAAATATTTCCCTCCTTATAATGCTGTTAACCCCAACACACTTTCCTCCATACATTGCTCGAGACTCTAACACGTTATCATGCTTATCATGCTGCCATTTTCAATCGCATTTTTTTCCTTTGCTGTGGCTAAAACGCTTTTTCACTTCTCATAATCCTTCTGGCTCCTACCACGTTTACCTTATACTGGTGTCCCCAACACTTTTCCTTTTAATGCTATGGCCCCACCACGTTTCCCCTACTTATAAAACTGATGGCATGACAGGTTTTCGTTTTCTAAATTAATGATGCCCTAACCCCCCTTTTCTTAGTGATTTTGCCCCATTGTTTTCCTCCTTACATAGCTGGTGGGTCCAGCTCTTTTTATTTCTGACATTACTACTGTTGGCGGCCCCAGCAAGTTTCCTTCCTCATAATACCTGTATTCTTAACAAGTTTCCATAATTCAAATTCTGTTACAATATTAGCATAGATATTTATCAGAGAGAAGCGACTAAAACGCTGGGAGCAAGAGGCTAGTAACTCCTTTTCCTGTATATATTACTAAATTTAAAAGAAAAAACTAGAAGGTATTGATCCATCCCCCACTAGCATCTAGTCTCCTACTGGTTCTTAACAGTTGTTGTTAGTGATTATTTTGGCCAAGTTGTCCTGTACCCACTGAGACTGTTAAAATGATTTTGGTGGCTTAGCATAAAGGATTGCAACTGGGTAAATAATTACCAACAAATAAAAGTTTGAGAATTTTAATTAAACAAAAGGTTTTCTAGAGTTAATATTTACAGATAAATTTAATGATGCTGGAATTAGTCTCCTACATACCACCAGGTGCATAACTTAGGTAACTTATTAATTATGGTATTCAACAACTCTCTACAATTTATCAAAAGTGATTTTAACAGAATACTGTATGATACTACTGTATACTTTTAATGATAAAATGTACCATCTAGTAATGTTACTGGACTTATTGTACTCAGGAATGATATAATAAATAATGAGTGTGTAATGTACTTGGCAAGACTAAGCATAGAACAAGTCCCCCCAAAATAAGCACAACTTGCTTGAGCAGTAAAGGAACCAGGTTGCCAAACAGCAAAGTACACACAGCAGCCATAAGCAGCACAGGGTCAGGCAAGGGAGGAGGAGACACGACAACAACCCTAACTGGGGACAATTACGAATCTGAGTTCAGTAGCTTCCAAGCCCCGACTACGACAGTGCGTAGACGACAGTCAGAACAAGTTAGGTCTAGAGTTAGACTCGGGACCTGAACCACAGCGAATGTTCCGGGGGAGAGAACCTCAGAAAATGTAAAAAAATCACTAATTATAAATAAGGGACTGTCAATAGAGCTGCAGAGTGCAAGATGTATGTTTTGGTTCATTAACTTGTACATTACGAAAAAAATATGAGTTTACATGAGAGGAGCAGAGGAAAACAGCGTTCTCCAGAAAAAGTGGAAAAGAGAGGTGTTGCCTTGATCTACCAGGAAAGAGTGAAGCAGCACTACAGTGCCAGATAAGATACTCCTTGGCTTGCCTGGCATCCCAACAGGAAAACAAGCGAACAAACAGTTTAGCAGTGCAGGCAGCCAGACAAAAATTTCGAATCTGCCAGCTTAAAAAACGTAATTAATGTATATAGTACACTGAACAATATAGTGAGAGTACAATAATACACTCTACAGTGAGGCTAGGAGAGGAACCACCATTTACAAATTTACAACCTGGGTTACCCTCACAGGCAGTACGGTGTCTTGGCCAGCAGACTACAGGACGTGGACGTATCTAAGCTTAACAACAACCAAAGGATGGCCTTCTTCATCAGTATCCTTTTATTGTTCTATCTATATTTGGTAACCTGTCATTTATGCTAAACATTGTGTCGTGATCAAAGGCATAAGTTGATATTAAAGTTGTGGTGTTATGAATGGCATAAGGCAAGGGAAGAGGTGTGGTGAGATGGTTTGGTCATGTAGAAAGACTGCAGCAAGAAACACTAATACTGAGGCTGTATAAGCTATAGTATATGAATTTACCTATTTTTTTAGATTTATTTTGACTATTATGCATTTATTAAGTGATGAAAGATGTTGATGACATTAGAGAAAGGGGTTAGTAAATTGTTTATGAAGAAAATATTGAAAGTACTCAAAAACTGAGTCTGGATCATCTAGCAGTAATACGTAAGCGTATTACATCTGTTTGGAAGGAAGTACTTCACTGTAAAGCACTTCATAGAAACTGCTGTTTGCCAGAATCCAAGCAATAGTCAATTTGTGAATTTTCATGCATCCTGCCATGGTACGAAACAGCTTTCACTGTCTAGTGGAATTAGAGATTACTGTATGTGTCCGTGCAACATTCTGCGACGCATACGGAATTGCCGTTTGATAATAAATAATAATCTTTATTTTTAAAAGTACATGATACAACTATTACAGATGTAGCTGACAACACTGTCATACTATAAAGAAAGTCCCCGTTATACAGACCATTTTAGGCAACTTGGGTTAGTCTTGTCTCCTAAGATGCCACCCACAGCAATCGGCTAACACCCAGGTACCTACTTACTTCTAGGTGAACAGGAGCAGCAGATGCAAAGAAACCTGCCCAACGTGTCACCCATGCCGGGATAGATCCCTGACCGTCAGTCTGGGAAAGTTATCTCTCATAATCTCTTCGGTTTAATATTGTATACATTCACGATTGAACTTTAACATAAGTACGTGATAGACAGTACAATATATACAAGACAAAAGCAATATGAAGAGTAGTTCTTTTAACTTAAAATTTATAATAAAGAGTCTAACTTAAAGTAAGTTAGTGCTTAAATCTGAACAATGATTTCTTGTTTGAGCAACAAGTGAGATAGATCTTTATCCATTGTCTATCATGGTTTAATATAAAACTTAAAGAGCTTTTAGGTCTTTTTAAATTAGTGCTTGAAGTTTTTTATTATTAATGATTATTATTATTTAAGAATTATAATTATTAAGTTGTAGTAATCTGTGCACATAAAAGATGTCACCTGATGTCATTAAACTGTTACCACATAATAAATGAAGAATTTATAGTTATATTTGTGGCATTAGTGTGTTGCTATGTAACTGCATGTTGCATATAGTTGCAAGGTGACGGGTACGAGGTAAGTGACAGGCAGTCCGCCCACCTCAAGACTGTCAGGTGGGTTCAGTCCGCCCACCTCAAAACTGTCAGGTGGTTCAGTAGTATTGTTTCCAGCTTATTGTGTTGATACTGGTAATTGAACAACGTTCTTGGTAGTTTGGTTATTTCTTCAGAGGAACGTCTGGAGACTGTCTCGCCCCAGGAGGTTCACTTCATACCAAGTGGTGCAGGTTATTGTTCGCTCTGATAGTCTCCTTCTTCTTCTTCTTCTTCTTCTTCCTTCTTCTTCTCTTCTTCTTCTTCTTCTTCTTCTTCTTCTTCTTCTTCTTCTTCTTCTTCTTCTCTCTCTCTCTCTCTCTCTCTCTCTCTCTCTCTCTCTCTCTCTCGTTGCCACACACTATTCGGTTCCGTCTAACTTCTGGACTTGTGTTATATCACTGTTGGTGAGGCGGTGATGGTGATTTTACATAATTATGCTGTACAGTATATGTCTAGTTTTACCAAGAATTCCATTTCAGACTTAACTTGGTAATGGCTTTGCAGTGGATTCTTAACTGTTTTAGTAATAATAATATAATTAATAATAATAACAATAACAATAATAATAATAGTATAATATCTTTATTTACTACAAGTTATGTTTTGTTATGCTAAGCCTTCCGGGTAAATTAGGTCAGTTTTGTCCCAGGATGCGACCCACACCAGTCCACTACACACCGGTACCCATTTTACTGATAGGTGAACATAGGCAACCCGTGTAAAGAAACACTCCCAATGTTTCTACCCTCACTGAGAATCGAACCCCAGACCCTCGCTGTGTGAAGCGACATCTTTAGCCACCAGCCACGAGCCACCATAAAATTCATATGCCACTTTTATTGTTGTGTCCTGGGCTGCCTATGGTGTATTATATATAATGAATTCTCGCCAACATCGATAAGCAGATTATTTGATCTGTCTCTCAAAATACTCCCATTGCCTGAGAAAAGTGGATCACATTACTCTGGCTAAAGCTCACACAGTGAGGGTCCGGGTTCGATTCCCGGCGAAGGAGTGCAAACATCGGACGGTTTCCTTACACCGGTTGTCTATGTTCACCCACAGTAGGTACCTGGAGTTAGTCGACTAGTGTGGGTCGCATCCTGGGACAAAAATGACCTAATTTGCCCGAACTGCTCAGCATAACAAGCGGCTTTCTGTATAATAGTGTGTCATTGACGTCAGTTAGACTGATACCTTGTACATGTACTTTAGAAATATATTATTATTATCATATTGTTGTTTATTATTATTATGGAATATTTGTTACCAGTTTTATCTAAATAGTAAATAAATATATTTTTAAAAAAATATTGGTTTGCCAGTTAACTCTCAGTACATATCGAACTTTCGTTAAATTTTGTATGTTCACTTTGATGTTAAATCTTTTTAGTTGGCTCCATTATTGTGGCTGGTGTGTAGGTGTGTTTGTGTGGTAGTGTTATTTCCTCTCAGTGACCTAACTTAAAGAGTTTAAAAAAGTTTTAGCTTTTACCTACAAGTTAATTAACCACAATTAACTTAGTAATTTGCTATTTCAATTGAGTGTTTCAAACTTTCTCTTTTTTGGGTAATTTGTTAATATTGTAAATAACTGTTTCGGGTGGAACACTTTAATACCGAACACAAGTTAAGTAACTTGTCATCGCAAGTGTTGGAAACTTGAAAGACGCTGACAATACTTATATAACCGTAGGCTCTCTGCGCCTATTGTTGGAAATTATTGATATTCTGTTCATGGACCGGTCGAAGCAGCACACAGGTTACATATAATTATAAAGACGTGCAACGTTTGAGTGAAACCAAATGACTAGCACAGATAGCTTGTGGATCCCTTTGGGTCAGAAGACCCCAGATGGAATTGACAAAACGCTTCAATAACTCAGCCCTCATTCTCAAACCATTGCACGCGTTTACACTTACAATATTACGTCAAAAATTGAGACTGGTGTCTGATCCTCTCAAACATTTCTTTTCAGCTGAGACAGGAAACCGGGACTGTTCCTGAGGAACCTACTGGTGTATGAATTCAAGCCAAACCTGCAATGCCGAATTTGTCGGTGGTCTCTGTTTCTGAAGAGCAGTACACATAAAGAGAGAGATTTAATGTACAGATGACGTCTCTAGTTTCCCCCTTTTCTCTAACATGTTTTCAGCTACTTCGAAGTGTTCAAAAATCAAGCCCGTGTTTTGGGAATGCTCTAATGAGCATTAACGGGAAGGCTTAGGAGTGACAGCATCACCAACGTCAATGTTCCTTATCTTGGTAATACCAGTAAGTTGTAGGGACTGAGAGTATATTGGTTTCACACAATGGTTTCTTTGTCTTGTCAAATGTTTTTTAAATAAACTCAAGACAACACATATAAAAATTCTCAAACACACAGTCAAGAATATTAGTTGCCTACATTTCCATCATGTTAGTCCCAATAAAATAAACTTAAAAAATTACTGACGGCTTTTCTAAAAATATTGTTTGAAATTTGTCAATTATGATCATTAAATCTAAAAAATAAACCGAATTGTAAGAGAACAAGATGATGAAAGAAAAGTTGTATTTTGGAAGGTAGAAGATAATGCTAGACATTTAGTGGAATACAGCAAACAGTTTCCTTACTGCTCGTGTCCAAGATGTGTACAACGCCTTGACGGTGGACAGCCTGTGTCATCTCAAGACACTTTCCCCCCTCCACTCTGGTGTAGAGAACTTCTGGACCCACCAACGCCTACCTCTTGGGCCTCACACCTACACGCTCGATCAGATAGAACATGGCATTCTCAGAGGGAGGTTGAACTTATTAGAAACTACAGTATGCCAGGACATTACGCCTGACTTAGTAACAACAACCACTCAGGGAGGTACTACCTCTTAATAAGTGTGGGCATGGAAGCTTGTTGAAAAAAAATTGCATTCAGGCTGGTGTTTCTGTTTTACGAATACGAGACATGACGGGTAAATTGATCGATTTATATTTCTCTTCAGCATGAACTTATTCTCATTCATTTTTCCGCATTGCTTAGAGCTTCGTTTCCTGGGGTATTTCATTTCAGGTTAGTATATAATTTTGTATCAGGGTTCATTGGTAGTCTTTTCATGATGTAATTAGTTTTATTTTTATTAGTTTTCGTAAATTAAATTAGCTGCTTTTGTAATACATATCAGCTAATTTTTTTTTCAATAAATATACACTTGTATCTGTGTCACCTGTTAAATTACAGATTATGAATTTAATGTGTGGGTACAGAAGATACTAAGCATATAAGCTGAATTCGATTAGTTTAATCCTCACATATTACAGTTCCATGTCTATTGACAGTTTGTAAGATGACGCAAAATGAAGTAAATAACAATATGGTAATCACGTTTCCAATAACACTCCGAACTGTAACATTTGTACTCATCGTTTCAGAGAGCAAGCGCTATACTTCACTCTTCCAGGATTTTAGGGCCGGTTTCCCTGAACTCTTTTATAAATGCTGCCTTGTTCACAGTCCAACAGTACGTCAATAAAAATCGCTTGCCTTAACTCCTAACTCAAGCCTGTTGGATGTCTAAGCCCTTATCACTCAGAACCTCCTTACCCCTTCCCTCCAATTCTTCCTGTACCCCAGATTTGTATGCTCTCACGGTCATCCTATTTTGCTCTTCCCTCTCTAATGTACACACTACCTCAACTACCCTTCCTCCGCCCTTTGAATAACACTTTTGGAATCCCCAGACCTCAAAAATTCAAAGCAAGGAATTCTCCTACTTTTGCCTCCTTTT